ACACACACACACATATATATATATCATATGTGATATATATATATATCACATATGTATGTACACACAATTATGTATATATATATACACATGTATTTATATACATATATATGTATTTATGTATATTCATATATATTTATATACATATATATATGTATTTATATATATTCATATATATTTATATACATATATATATATGTATATATATTCATATATATTTATATACATATATATATGTATTTATATATATTCATATATATTTATATACATATATATTCGTATATATTTATATACATATATATGTATTTATATATATACATATATATTTATCTATATTTATTTATAGATATAAATATATATATGTATATAAATTACATATATATGTATTTTTATATATACATATATATTTATCTATATTTATTTATAGATATAAATATATATATATAAATTAAAACTCTGATGAACCAGATTCTACAAAAACATTACATTCAAATTTTTATAGGTTTTCATCATCATTTGATGTATTTGCACTCATTGTGTCTACTTTTAATGTTCATTTTAAATGTGTGGTTTCCTTTCTTGTTCACATATATACATTTTATTTTTAGCTTTGCTTTAAAGTTCTTGTTTTGTGATTTGTACATTCGTGAGTTAAAATAAAGTTGAACTGAAGGTCGTCTCTTTTCTTTAAACGTTTGAGGGAAATATTCCTGATATCCAATAGTTTTGTGTCTTTTTATGATTTTCAGCTGAGTTAACAGTCATTAAAGTGAAAACAGGATTTCATGATGAAGCTGGCACCGTCTTTTTTTTTTTTTTTTTAATCTTCAACGCTCTGCTGGTCTCGCACGACACTGCCCGCAGTCACACGATCCTCTCCTCCGGAGAGGAGGAGGCTGGGAGACTCATCCTCCCAGCTCCAGCTCAGCTGGTCACTCACAGAGTCCGTTCCAAGGCTCCAGCCGCGCGTAATCATGAAGGTCCGACCCGCGCAGACAGGCGGGCAGAGACGGGTCTGCGACGAACGGTGGAAGCGATTTTAAAAAACATTTTACGTGTAAAAAAAAAAAAAAAATCATTTTTAAATCGCTTCAGCATTTTTTTTAAACATTTTTTTTATAAAAACAAAATGTTATTTTATTTAAAAATCGCTTCCAGCGTCCGTCCCAGACTGTCCAGTCCGCCTGACTGCCGGGCGGGATCGGGATTCAGCCTTCATGATTACGCGCGGCCGGGGTCTCGCAACGTCCATCTGCGAGTCCCCATCTCCAGCTTCGCAGTGACCTGCGGAGCTCTGAGCACACAAGGCTGGTATCCAGAACCCGAGCCTCCGAGTCGGCACATCGAAGGTTCTTCCGCGGTGACCAGCTGAACTTGGAGCCGGGGAGATGACGCCCTGCCCAGCCTGGCGCTCCAGGCTACGGAGGGAGGATCGGGGTACACCAGCAGAGCTCCATCCAGCTTGCTCTGAATTATGTTGTCGGCCACCAAGCACAAAAAATGCCAGCACATCAACATTAGACCAAGATGTTGTCAGTATTGTTTTAAAAATCTTTAAAATAAGTCCAGCCGCTGCTCCAGTCCGAGAAATTGCAAATGGCGGATTATTGTTTTGAAACGTTTCTGAAGGATCCAGTGACTCCGCCCCCGACTCCGCCCCCGACCAACCAGTGACCGACAGTGTTCTGACGTCACGTTTTTGTACCTCTTCGTACCGGTTAGAACCACAGAGCCAAGGGTACTGAAAATAGTAACAGGTGCTAAGTACCGGTACTAATGGAAAAGCCTCAGAACCGGGCCAAGTAGGGTCGAGTCGGCCCGTACCGGTACTAATGGAAAAGGGGCATTAGAGTGTTTGTCATTAAAATCACAAGATCAGATCTTGCATGTCATACGTATACATACATACCAGTATATGTGTACGTGTCATATGTATACATATGCATATGATACGTATATGTATCATAAGTATATGTATACATATTATACGTATGATATGTATATGTCTACGTATCATCCGTATCATACGTATCATACGTATCAAGTATGTCTGGGTTTTGTTCACGGGCGAGGGGCGAAAGGAGCGTGAGATCGACGAACGGATCTATGCAGCTTCCGCAGTATTGCCGGTCTGTTGTGGTGAAGAGGGAGAAGAACTACAAGGCAAAGCTTTCTGTTTACCGGTCGGTCAATGTTCTTTCACTCACTTATGGTCACGAACTCTTGGTAATGAATGAAAGCACAAAATCATGGATACAAGCTGGGGAGCTGGACCCTTCCTTGGAGATCGGGTGAGAAGTTCAGCTATCTCGGAGAGACTCTGAGTAGAATTGCTACTCTGCTCCTCCACAGCCAGTTGAGGTGGTTCAGGGATCTGGTAAGGGTGCACCCTGGATGTCTACCTAGGGAGGTGTGACATGGCATGTCAGACCGGGAGGAGACCCTGGGGAAGACCAACAGCACTCTGGAGAAACTATATCTCTTGGCTGGCCAGGGAACACCTTGGAGTCCTTCCAAGTTGTAAAGCGGTGTTTGGGCGTTCCTGCTCAAACTGCAGCCCCTGCTGCACAACTCTTGGACTAATGGAAATTGATGTGTGGTTCAGACACAACAACAGTGTTTCTGGATGTGCACATGTGGCTTCTTCTTGGCACGATAGAGCTTTGGCCAGCTTTTATCAGTGGTTCTGTGAACTGTGTTTACAGCCATGGTTTGTGGAAGTGTTCCTGAGCCCATGCAGGGGTGTCTAGACTTGACTCAGACTTTTAATGTAGTGCCACCTGAGTTCCAGAAGACCACAGACATCCAATATTGACTTTCAGTCTTGTCTTTTGACAATGAGATTTGAAAATCATTACATTTTGTTTTCATTGATGTTTTACACAAAAATACAACTTCTCAGCGTTGGCATCTCCAAACTTGTCCAGTATGCTGTTGTTTTTTAATCTTTGGATGTTTCCACCATTACTTTCCCTTTATCGCTTGTTAAAGCTCTAACTATTACTTCCCTCCTGGGATAAATTTAGCCTGATGGTGTTTATTACCTTTTCTATTCCGCCTCTTTTATTTCTTTCTTTCTTAGTCTCCCCGTGTCTGACAGCTTTGTTTGTGTTCCAGAAAGAGAAATGCTGCCGTTCGACTCATAAACACGCATTTCTTCGCTCCCGGAGTCATCCACTGTTTCTAGCCGGTCAACCAGGAGGAAAAACAGCAATGTTGGGGTGGGAGGGTGGCGGGGGGATGACCATAAAGCATGCCAGGAGTTTTATAGGCCAGCAGATAGAAGCTTTTAGAAAGCAGATGGATAATGACTAGTTGTTTGTCAGCTTAAAATCAAAGGTTAGATTGTTGTTCGCTGACTGTTTAATGAGGTCGAGGTTGTTGGAAATGATCATCCACCCCCGCACCCCTCCCCTCGTCACTCGTCTCCTTCATTCCTACTGAATTTGAAAGTTTAATTTGCCTTGATTAAGAGCAATTACGGTGTCTCGCAGAGCGTAAAGCGAATTGCAGAGACGCTGGCCCCTGAAAATATCAGAGATTGAAAATGGGAAACGAGCTTCCCGTCAGCATCCTAATGCAGATTGTCTAATGGTTCGGGGAGAGAACGCGACGTTCCCAGCGTCAGGAACAAGGACGGTCGTAGATCGTCTGTTGGTCACTTGGATCGTGATGCCAAGTTCTTAATTATAGACACCATATTTTGGTTTGTGCCAACACCCCCCGCACCAGTTGTACATTTTAGAGCATCATGCATGCTGTTTGGAGTCATGGACTCATTTGCCAAGGCTTTAGTTCCACCCATGACTCCTTAATATTTTTTCTTATCAATAATAATCAATAATATTAAAAAAATGACATCAGCTTTTGCCTCTTAAAGTGCTCAGTCCATGTCAACCTTGGCTTGTGTAACTAAAAATTTTCCACAAACCACAGGATGAATTTTAATGACTCTTGTAAATAATAATCATTGTTTGAACATCTACAACTGATTGATGTTTGGAGGCAACCCAGTCCAAGATGTCTGCCACAGACAATAAAAAAAACATATGAAAATAGCTCTTAGTCAAACTTACAGATATTAACTTAATATTTGGTGTGATAGTGACTGAGCATCATCTCCAATACATACTTTGAACAATATTTTTGCCAAAAATGTTGGTATTAACTGTTGGCATCAACTTTGTCTGTTAGCAAAATATCACATGAACTACTTGGAATGTTTAAACGAAAATGTCACAAAGTAATCGCTGGATGTTCATCTAAAACTGATTAACTTCTGGAGTCAACCTGATTCAAGACGGTTGTCACAGCCAGAATTTAGAATACACCGAAATGACCATATCTGAGTCAAATTTAAAGATATTGGGTTGATTTCTGGAGTGCTAGTCACTGAGAGTGATCCTTAAGCTCCACCTGATCTTGCAATGCGATTGCACTTAACTTCATTTACAGTGGTGCTTGAAAGTTTGTGAACTCTTTATAATTTTCTATATTTCTGCATGAATTTGACCTAAAACATCATCAGATTTTCACCCAAGACCTAAAAGTAGCTAAAGAAAACCCATTTAAACAAATGAGACAAAATATTGTACTTGATCATTTATTTATTGAGGAAAGCGATCCATTATTTTAGTCCCATTAGTTTAACTGGGTTCTCTTTAGCTACTTTTTGGACTTGGGTGAAAATCTGATGATGTTTTACGTCATATTTATGTAGAAATATAGAAAATTATTAAGGGTTCACAAACTTTCAAGCACCACTGCACATCCATCTCTCATCACAAGATGCTCTTATTCTGAAACTCTGGCAGCAAAGTAAATTCCAAGCTTTTATTTTTTCAAATCTTTTTGTGTGAATTTACTTTTCCTCACTCTTTCCACTCGCCTTTTCTCTTCAGGTCATCGTCATGAGCGCGACGCTCGACGCCGGCAAGTTCCAAGTGTATTTCGATAAGTGCCCCCTGTTAACCATCCCCGGGCGCACGCACCCCGTGGAGATCTTCTACACACCGGAGCCGGAGCGAGACTACCTGGAGGCAGCCATCCGCACCGTCCTCCAGATCCACATGTGTGAGGAAGGCATGGGGGACGTTCTGCTCTTCCTCACAGGACAAGAGGTAGATTATTTGTTTAAAATGTTATTATTGTTTGTATTTATAATAAATGCATGATCTCCAGAGTCACTGAGTACAGAGCAACAGCCAAAAAGTGAAAATGTTTAAAACACTCAGTTTAAATGTTGAGATTTTTACACCTCAGGGCATGAACAAACATTTTGTCCTTACCAGATTTGAAATGAGAGTGGATAGTGCCTCAGAGGAACAATTAGACATTATGGGTTTAACAATGAAATCATTTGAAGGTAAATCTATCTGGCAAATCAAAATGGCTACTTTAGGTTATTTTGACTTCCTGTTGTAAACTTTTATAACCCTTTTGAGTATAACCAAGTTATATAAAGACAAAACACATTATGAGTGTTATATTCTAAAATATATGGACTTCTGTGTGGTTAAAAGTACTGTTACATTAAATAAACTATGACTGGTATAAACGCAGGCAAACGACAAACAATATAATCAGAACCAATACAAAAATCTCAAATGATTTTACATTTATAATCATTAAATCATTATATTTATCACAGTACAGTTAAGTCATGGTATGGTTTCAAAGCTAAGCCAGCTAAGCATGCACAAATTGCAAAAATATAGTTTATTTAGCTATATTCCTGTGTAATAAAATTTTTCACAAACTAAACACGTGAAACTGACAATTTCACAGAGATCCTTTCTTTTTTGACAATGAAAAAACAAGTTAAACGGAGAAACCTCTTTACTACAGTCTTGGTCATATAAACATATCTGCAAACTTGTCGCGTTTTGGTGAAATTTGCCGATTTCAATCCAAAATATGTCATTTACGTGAATCATCTAGATCCAAATGGTTAGAGGTGTGGTAGATGGCATAATTTCCCATTGACTGGTCTTACGTAGCACTAAGCTAGTGCTACGTGTCATGCTAGCTAGTTTGCTTGCAACCTGTGCTCACAACAAAGCTCGCGTTGGTTCGAAAGCGCTAAGCTAGCGTACTTGCGTTGTGCTAGCTTATTGCTACGTAAGTGCCAGCAGTTGTTGACTTGGGGATAGAGTTGTATTCGGGCCAAAAAAATCCGACCCGGCCCCAGTCCATAGCCATTGTTTCTGAACCCCAACTGACCCGACAAATTAACAGTAATTACAGGTCCGAAACCCGATCCCCCCCCCCCAACATTTTTAATTAAGCTTTGACTGCTTACAAAGTTATGAACAGTCAGCGAACGCGCGCGGCTGAATAAAAGGGGCAGAAGATTGGAGCTAGGGGGTGTTTGTCCTTTCATGACTGTCAATTGTCCTTTCATGACTGTCAAAGAGCATTAAATCCCTGCTTCTGCCTGAATTCTGCATTATTCAGACATGGACCCTGCACTGACATGTCTGCTTTAGGATCTCACCTGTTTGGGTCATTGGCCATGCCTCCGCTGAGTGCAGCAGCTCAATGAACGTCCATTTGGGCGGTGGATCACTTCCTGGCAGTACAGTCTCATCTGAAGCTTAACTGAACTTTATTTTTCCTCTTTCAAGGCCGGTCAGCTCGCGGTGAAATGGCCGCGTGCGGCTGGTGAATTTATGGCAAGCCATGTTGCCATATAATTGGATTGCGGCTGATCCGCTGACGCAATCAAAAGCCTGACCCGGCCCGCCCATCCAGCACATTACAGCCCGGCCCGAATTTGGGCTGGGCCGGGCTTCGGATCCGGGTTAGAAATGACAGCTGGGGGGGTACTAGGATGCGTTAGAGAAGTGAAGCGCTATGTCTGTAGCATCTTAGCTAGCTCAACTGTATTGCGCGCTGCTAGCTTATCGCAACATATTTAAAAAAAGAGTTTTGCTATTAGCAAAATGCTCTGCTATATTTGGTTTCGGTTGGCTTGCTGCTGTTGTTCCTTGTTTATTTTCTTTCTTCTTTTTTTTTTTTTGTTGATTAGCCATCTTTCAATAGCTGCCCACTGCTCCACCCGGTGGTGGATGGGTTAAATGCAGAGAGCCAATTTAGCCATTGTATGGGAATATACAATGATGACAATACATACATTATTATTATTATTTCCTATGTATGTCCTGAATAAATTAAGATATTTTAATAAATGTCTTTTTTACCTGAAGCATGTTGTTTTTTCCCCTAATTTTCTTTTTGGAGTATACCAGAATGCTTAATTTAAATGTTAAAAATCACAAAATCTTCTGGGGTGTGGGGCACATGACCCCTCCCCCCACCACTACAGGAGCTAGGTTTGTCGCCTTTTTCATCCCTTGTGAGTTTGCAGGTATGTATAAATATACATCTGCTAGTGTTTTGTTGTTTCGCTCTCAAGAACTAAAGCAGCACAAACAATGAGACTGACTGAACGTCCTGCTGCGGCGCCCGAACATTTTCTAACACCACACCTGTCCCGCAGCGAAATGAAACGAAGCGAGCATCGAGGCGTGGAGGAGAACTCACCTCAGCTGGGTCGACATGGAGCTTCAACCCATTAAATGTATAATGGACGTTTCCCTCGTATCTTTGTCAAACGAGTTAACGCTGTTAAGTATCGTCAGTTAAAATCCTTGATTTTAGCTAGAACATCTCGATTTTCCAAACACCCCGGGCCTTTCTAGGGCGATGCTCCCAACCAGCATCCTCATCCAGTTAGTTAGGCTAATGGTTATAATTGTTTTTCAGGCTTTTTAAACAACTCCTTCTCAAAAATATCATCAAAGATGAGAGTAAATTGCTGAGTTTGTTTCCTCCTGAGGCTTAAACATAAAGAGGAGGGAGCATTTGTTTTGTATTTGACGGACACAGCATTTCAACCCACAGGTGTGGAATGATTTTAACAGAGTAATATTCACTCCATGCTTGTGAAATACTAGAATCTCCTGCTTTGCTCTCACTGTAAGCCTGCAGTTTTCACGACTGTCACAAGTGCTCACCATGGCTTGTGAAGCTGAAAATGCTCCTGGCGTGTTTGTGCATTTTCTGTGTGTTACGCTGGTTTGACCTCAGGCTGAACTTGCTGGGAAGTTCACTCCTGGGAGCATCGGCTGCTGCCTGGAATGTTTTTTTGCTTTTTTCCTCACTGTGAAATTAGACTTTTAGGATTACACGTTTAATTAAACATGTTAAGAGTACACCTATATTTAATGTTTGAAAAGTAGCATTCCTTAAAGGAATGCCTGCAACATTTCACGTCCAAGTTTTAGACTAATGTCATTTTATGTTGACAAATGATGGTTTGTAACAGTTTTGGTTGAACCTTTAGAGCAACGCTATGCTCAATCTGATGAGAGAGTTCTCAAGATGTCTTAGCTCTCTGAGTATGTATTGAAGGTGAATCTCAGCTAATACCACGTCAAAATTTTGATCAATATGTATATAATTGACCGAATTGTTGCCACTTTTGCATTGGCTAATGTTGATTAGCTGTGGCACCCATTTTGAAATGCATTTATTCCAAAAGTTAACGAGTTGTAGGCGTCCATCCGGTAATTACTTTCTGAGCGTTTCATTCAAATTCCTCCAGTGGTTCATGAGATATTTTGCTAACAGACATGAACACACGCACCGAAACAGAAAAGATGAACAGAACAGATTAGATGACTTTGTTGTGGCTCTTCCTGTTTGAGAACCATCAGGATTTATTCTCTCAAATATGAGGAAGAAACGAAGACAAGTGACCCAGATCCCAGCCTTCCCACAAATCTCTGAAATTAAGTCATTATTTTTTCCCCTCCTGCAAATGTCGTCCACTGATGTGTAATGGAGGGCAGGGTCCATGCCCAAAGTGATGAGCTTGGTCACAGCTGGGTGGACGCACGCACACTTACACTTACACGCACACGCACACGCACACGCACACACACACACACACACACACACACACACACACACACACACACAC